GTGTCTTTGAACGCAGACATCGACTCGTAGTAAATGGATACAAGGGCCTCTCTTTAAAAATGCACTTGTCTCCCACCTGAGATTGTCTGCCTTCATCTTCAACTTTCCTTTTCGTGCCGTTCTCTGTCAGCTAATTTGTTAGTTTACAGTGAAAGCAAAGTTGCGGTGTGGTGTGTGTTGCTGCGTACACACAGAAGGGCCAAAACTTGCTGAGATCTTAAAGGACGGGTTTGGCCCTGTCCTTGAGTTTGACATCTTTTAGACTGTTAAGCTGTCAGCCTGCATTTGAGGTGCTGAACCATCAAATATTCAAGGTTCTCAGTTTTTGCACAAAAATGACTACAACAACCGCAAAGACAAGACCTTCATCATTTATTCCACAATGACATAAAAGCAAATGTTACGTTATTAAGAGATTTTTCAAGTATTTTCCATGACCATACAGGGAGAGAGTTTCAAATAATTACGTCCATGTTTGTGAAAACCAACAGTCCAAAGACATGCAGTAAGTGGGTTTAGGTTAATTGGGGATTCTTAACAAGTGTGAGTGAGAGTGCAGATGGTCAGTGTGTCAGCCCTGCGACAGACTCATGATCTGTCCAGGGTGCACCTTGCCTCTCACCCTATGGTAGCTACGATAGGCTTCAGCCCCACCGCAGCCCTGATAAGGATAAGGGGAACAGAATGGATGGATGGATGGTTTCCCCAATATCGACCTGCCAAGTGCTAAACTTCGAGCAAAGCGTTGAGCAGAGACCTCTCTCCCATATGCCGTCAAACCCTCTGTTTACAAGGGATGGCCAATCAGATAAAAGCTGCCATAAAGGGAGCGAGGCCCTGAAAGAGCAGGCTGTTAATACATTTTATTTCAGAGGGAAAGCTGGGGTGCTGCGCCCTCTACTCTAGCAGAGTCTAAGATTAAAGATATAGGTTAAAATAAGCAAAAGGTTCCTCTAATGCTAAATCATTTGTATGTGAAGTTGAAAAGCTACAAACTAATAATTATAGCTAAAAGTAAAACACAGAGTCTTACTTGATATGAAGTGGATCAGTTGTGGGAGGAAAAAGGGGAAAAAATAGAAACTTGGAACTTTTTCCTTTTTTCCCTTGAAATATTAAATGAAAATAAATATTTTTTTAAGATATTGGCAAGAAAAGGTTTTTACTAGGGTCTGAAATACACATATAATCATTTGGAATTATACACCAGCTGTAGGTGGTTACTTACATAACTCACTGAGGGCTTATACGCAAAAAATAGTATTACAAATCATATGAAAAATATCAAATGCTGTTAAACAGCTGTGGCCTATAGCTGTTATCAGATTAAGGCAGTTGAGCAAAAAGTTTATGATTTTGTTCCCTGTTGAAATGGAAATATTTACATACTTTAGCAGAGATGGAGCACACACTTCTGAAAAGCCATAAAAGCCATGAAACAAAGCGCGAATAAACCTCAGTCGCTCGCCCCGTACAGTGGCTGTGTTGACCTGTTTTATAAATCTGTTTAATTCCTTTAGTCGAACATGCAAACGTTAGTGTAAAACAAATGAGTCAGCTTTAAGCCCCTCCTTTAGCTCATGCCTGTGTGAGAGTATTCACCATCTGCCCATTGTAAACATGGACGTTAAGGATTTGTCGAGGCTTTGTATGTATACGTGGACACTATCCCATTTCCCCAGCTGCCTCCATGGTATGGGACATTCTGTTGTCGTGCAGCACATGTTCACATTGTCAACAAAATAACTGAAGAGAAACAAATTATGCAAAAAGTATTTTTAAAGCATGATTGCACGCTTTGATAAATGATTGAATTTTTTTCAACCCACATGTGGTTCAAGTATGGAAGCTGTGGGTGGAGAGCTAACCACCAGCCCATCTGTGGGCATCGCACGCTAAGCTTTAGTTGTGGTAGAAACACAACAAAGCCAGAGGCAGAGAAAGAGAGGGGAGCTTGTTACCCTTGAGGGCCTCGGTCCTATCAGTCACTGTGCCACAACGATTCGCCCTGTAACTGATCCGTGGACGCCGAGTCTACAGGTCAACTGTGACAGTCTGCTTTGTGCATGTGTGTGTGTGTGTTTGCATCTTGTGGGTTTGTGTGCGTGTGCATCTGCATTCTGTCCCTCGATGCCGGGGGCTGTCGCTCTTCATCCCCTGCAGCAGAATG